AGAGGGAAGATATATATCTATATATCCTCTTTTGTAGTTGTTTATATATTTCCTTCAAAGTGTCCAGTAAACGAGCAAAGAAAAAAAGTGTAATAATCCAAGATACAAAATGTAATAAAGTGATATTATATGCTATCCAGAAGACTAAAGTAAGTAAGGTGTAACATTAAAAATGATCAAATAAAATAACAAGAAGATAGATGGGCATTACAGTTAGAAGACTTAGGTCTAATTGAGGTTCCTGTCCACATTCATAAGCCAAAAGCTGTTATCCATTGTTGGTTGACATGGAAAACTCCTGTTCAGAACCCTTATTACAGGATTCTATGCATATTATGCCTTAGTTCTGATCATTTCAATCCATCCTACGCCCTTGTTATTCTTTAGTTTCCTCCTATAGGCCTATCCTCAAATCTCTTTCCAGGGCTCCACGTTTGCAAGCCCATGCTTTGCCAAGTGGTGTCTGGATTTTGTTTCTTTGTTTACAGAAATAGCACTTTACAGAATAGCGGTTGACATATGTACCACTCGAAGGAAGTAAGTGCTCATAACCTTGTGATTCTCACTTGAGTGATCAACAGAATGCTCATTGGCAAAGAAATAGACTCTTCCCCTGTCTCTTAACCACACAAACACAGTCACACATACAAATGTGCAAAGGTCAATTTCTGAAGCAGATGGGCAAGAGAAATAGAAGAAGTGGAGGTGGGTGGATGTCTCATTTAATTACTGCCATGCTGAAAACTGATTTTCAAGGTTCAGAGCGGAATGCTTTCTCAAATGAGTTAACACATTGCACTAAGCCATGATTTCACCATGCTTTGTTGAACACTTTCTACTGAACTGCAGTTCTCCTGATGCCTCTCACCATTGATCAGTGTGATAGGAGTTAGAGTTCACCAACACCTGAAGGGTCACATATTGCTCAATCCAGTGGACATTACCTGCCATGGACAATATGACACTTTTTGCAGATTTCTGAAGCACCAGGTGCTAGAAATCTTCTAAACATAAAAGGGCCTTCTTAGTCCAGCATGTTGTTTATCTCAGTGGCCAGCCAGAATTCTTCTGGGGTGCTCACAAGTAGGAGATGGAGAACTCTGCCTCTCCTGAAATTATTTTGAGATGTCTGGTTCCAACCTGGAGATGACATTGAGTCTTCAAAACTAATAGCTTTTTACAGAGCTGTCCTGTATGAATTTATCCAATTCCCTTTTAAATCTATCCCAGTTAACGGCTTTTGGGAATGAATTCCATGGGGGATAAAAACTCTGCTTTTATCAGATAACATCAATGAGCCAGCATGCTTCACTCAACTCTCTAATGACCAAGGATTCCCAATGTTAGCAAAAGAAATAGAATTTGTTCTAGTTTACCTCCAGACATCACTGCTGGCTTCCTATCTGGCTGCTCCATCAAGAAAGAAATCCATGGCATAGAAGGAGTTAAAGAAAAAGCTCGTAGAAACTTTGCTATTGGTGACATGAGTCGCTCTCTCTCTCTCTCTCTCTCTTTCTCTCTGAAACATAGCTGCGTGCAGAGAGAGAAATCTGCTGAAGTCTGTCTACTGTCTAAAGAAACGAAAGAAGAGAACCAGCTGGCAAAGTCAGCTCTCATTCAGCTGTCCACAAGGCAGATGGATTTGTGGCCATTCCTTAGCTTCTGAAGAAGAATGTGCAGCCCTGCTGGAGAAGTGGAACAGCTCAGGGATAAGCAGTACCCCTTTGTGCCTGTCACACTGCTAAACACAAGCATTCAGAAGAAGAAACTCTACTTCGGCTGTGCTGCCTCTGAAAAGCCACGTCTTCCAGGTCTAGGAACCAAACATCAACGATCTCACCCACTTGGACAGGAGGTGCCTCTAGGACAACCTGTCAGAAGATACCCCTGTAATAACCCCCAGGTGCTTTCCAAGAGGGTCCTCAGGGGATCAATCCCTCTCAGGTTCCTACTGACAGTGAAAGGTAACGGGGTCATGCTTCTCAAAATCTTCTCTATCTACTTTCAGTGTATTAGGTTTGCCTGTGAAAGAGAGGGAATGAAAGACCATCTGCCAAGGAAAGGAGGAATATGAATACTCTCTCAAGACATTTTTTTTTAGATTAAAAGCATGCATTAAAATATCAGTTTCCTCATTTGGGGAAGGGGCAGGATTATAAACCAGTTATACCAGATGATTGATTTCAGTGGAAGGTTTAATCCAGGCATCTTAGCAGAGGGGACCAGTTGGCTTCACCTTAAAAACCTCTTAAAATCATACTGCATTCTGACTGAGGATCTGTTTTTACTGAAGTTTTTTTGATAAAATCAGAGAGTTCATTGCTAGCCTATTTTTCTTTTAACAGTACCCCATTGCTTGCTCACTCTTATACTATTAGTCCCATTCTTGAATCTATCTATCTATCTATCTATCTATCTATCTATCTATCTATCTATCTGTCTGTCTGTCTGTCTGTCTGTCTGTCTGTCTGTCTGTCTGTCTGTCTGTCTCTCATCTCATCTCATCTCATCTCATCTCATCTCATCTCATCTCATCTCATCTCATCTCATCTCATCTCATCTCATCTCATCTCATCTCATCTCCCTGGGTGATTTGTTTAGAAAAGTTAATTTTTATTCTCTTTTGGGAACCTAGGAAAAGTATTTAGAACTTCAAATCAGAGAATTTACTGAAGTTTGTTTGCTCAATGGAGAGCTGGTTACTCAGTCTCTGAGACCCTATTTGCTCTTCTCCATATTTATGGAGAAAGCTTCAGTGGAAAATTGGTTCAGGAACCAGAGACTGTGATCTCTCTAAATTCTGCACATTATTAAAGTCATTTGGTGTTTCAGCTTCGGGCATTCACTTTCCTGAACTGAAGACTAATCTTAACACAGGTCCAGTGTGCTTAGACCTGGAATCTAAGAGGTCTGGCTAATGGTAATTTTACCGGTAGTCTTGACTTTCCAACCTCTTCTCTTTATCCTCAAAACAACCTTCTGAGGTGGTCTGTTAAGTTAAGAGGAGTGCAACAGCGAGGATGTCCTCAAATGTCAGAGGCTGTTCTCTGGGGCCAACCAAACCTTGGGTGGGATAGAACAACAAAGTGGACAGCATCAGCAAATCATAATAATTAGAGTTAGAATACAGATGTCATCAGCAATTAGTTTTATTAAAGAAAGATGATTCATATGCTTATTCTCAATATATTTAACTTTTTTTCCCCTTTGGTCGAGTTAAACATGATAATTTGACAGCAAATTTTGGAGGGGGCAGATACTTAGGATTATTTTCTTCTCTTCTTAATTATCTCCATCCTTTCATCTCTTTCCTTAACTTAGAAGTGTCCAGGAGAGACCTACTGTGCTGGGGCTTTCGGTTTGTAATTTAGTATTGCTACATTTGGACTCCAGGTTAATGGTCCTCACATCGTGCTATCTAATTTTCAGAAGTAATGTCTGCAATGACACTCATGCTATTAGCAATAATGGCTTTTGGGGATTAGATGGGATCGTCTTTCTCAGGACATTCAGACAGTCCATAGTGCCCTTATAAGATTTGGTAGGACAGCGAGGACAACCTTCCCATGGCTAAAAGTGGCACTTCGTTATTTTTAGTGGCTTCAGCTTCTGGAGGGGGTATTTATCATGACGTCCTGCAAATACTCATGGCTAATTGTTTTACTTTTAAGTTGGTGGTTTTGGTTTTGGGTTTTGGAGTGAAGTGATGCAGAAATGGGGTGGAATGAACTTAAGCTTGGAAAAATGAGAAATGGAAAAAAACAACAAAACGTAACAAAGCAAGAACAAAATTGAAACATGCTTCTGTTCCATGAGCTCTGTCCCCATGATCAAAAAGTCAGCAAAACAAAAAGCTGAAAAAAGACTATCTGAGGTATCCTGAGATTAAGACAGAAAAACAAAAGCTTCTTTTAAGGGGCGGGGAGGGAAATCTTTGGGGAAATTGCAAGGCAAATTTTATCACACGCGTTTCATGGCACAAGTGACAACCATGGAAGCTTTCTTCATGTGGTCTCTTCGACCTCTAGACAGAGGTTTTACCAACCTAAACCTTCTACCACCCAGTGTCTTCTATAACACAGCACACCACAAGTTTGACCCCATGAACCCAAATTCATAGCCAGCCTGGTGGAAGACACCAGAAAGAGGGCAGCTTGATATAAAACAAAGGCAACCACTGAACTCCATTCCAGTGATTCACAGATATCTTACTGTGCATCCAAGAATTCTGTATTATTTTTACAGTGCACTTCAGATAGTTAACAGGCCCAGAGCACCAGGCAAGGAATGCCTTAATGTAAGACTCAGAGTTTTTACAATACAGCGCTGGTTTTGATTTATGATGTTAACACTGAAAGAAGAAGGAGCCATATCTAGAGCAACACAAGTTTCTTAAGTGGCCAACTGAGATTCTCAGCAATTGTAAAGCAGTCCATAAAAAAATGGGAAAATAGAGAACCACTGTAGGACACAGCGTTACCAAGTGAAAACTCCCTTAATTATCTCTCTCTGTGTCACTCTGTTTAGAAATAAAACTCGGTACAGAGGTCTGAAGTTAGACGTTGAACAAAGCCTCACTGGGGTTGCTCACACTAAACTTACTGGTGATTATTTGTCTGATGAAGACTGAAGATTCTGACCAAAGCCAGCCCAATACCAGTATTGGCTAAACCTTCTGTAGATGTTTCATTTGTTGGGCAATGCTGAGGACTGAAAATCCCTTGCAAATCTCAGTTGGGTGCTTTTCTTTCCAGGAAAAATGATGTTGCTGTTGTTGTTGTTGATCATGATTTGGTTCTTCCATTTCACAGAGCAAGCAAAGATGGGAACTGTCCATGGGAACTGCTTTCCGATGAAACATCAAGATTTATAGCATCGCCAAGAATTTATCTCATACTCCAATGCATGAATCCAACAAGGAATCCTTTCTTGGACTCTACAGAAAAGTAGCAACGTGTTTATGAGTGAACAGGGGAGGATGGACAAGGCCTGAGTAAGCAATGACTGAAGTTGTTTTCAGATACCATGGAAATCTTACTGGCCGTGCTCACCCACACCCAACCCTGGCTACAGAAGCAACAATCACAGATAAGTATTCTAACTTGTATATGTATGTGGGGCTCTTCTTGACCCTGCTAGCCATCTTGCTCATTCTTATTTTCACGATGCTTCTCCGCTTAAAGCATGTTATCTCTCCCATCACCACATCTCCAGAGAGTACTGAGAACATCCAGCAGTTCACAGATGTGGAAATGCATGCCAGGATTCCCAGCCCTTAGAAAACGGGAAAGAACTGGCTGCAGCAAAAGAACGTGTGAAGATGCTTCTTTTTGTTCATTGGATGAAAGGTGGGAATGGTGTCCTCTGCTGGCCCAGCTGAAAATGGTCCAGTCAAGTGGAGGCAACATAGGACAGCTGAAGGATGCAAGTCTGGAATGGACAAGGGCAGGACCTTGGGTGACAGTTGTAGAGGCATACGATAGACACTGGTTTGTAGATTCAGGACCAAGGAGAGCAACCAAAGATACATTCCTTGACCCAGCTCTGGCCCGTAGCAATTTACAGCTTTCCATAGTCTGCCTTAGGAGGTTTATTTTAGCTCTGCCTCTTAAAGGCCTGCCTCATATTTTCAAAGGATCATCACCATCATCTTCATTTTTTTGCTGGGCGGGGGGAAGCTTTAGTTCTACATCTGAAACTGCACTATTGATCTGAGGAGTAGTGATCTTGTTGAGGATTGCTCTTCAGGATCTTCTGGATCTGTAGGTTGACCTGAAGTCCTACTGCTTTGGGATTCATGGAAGGAGTGGCAAGATGTGGAGAGTCTCACCTAAAAAAAGATGGAATATTAAACTTCCAGCAAGTTTCACTTATTGTTAGGAACTGCAAGGAGCATCTGCTGTGATGTTTCATTGCAGCCAACTATCATGCATGCAAATATATGCAAACTGGTAAGACAGCCTTGCATAACAGTAAAAACTAACCCAATACTAACCTGATCTTTTCACTGATCTTTTCAAAGTCTGGGGCAGTTTATATTGGATCTGTTTTCTTGGTGAATTTCTGGATAAACATTTATTAAAAGATTATAATTTCTGGATGGCAGAATTCATGCTTAAGCTTGTCTCAGATGTATCACCTAGTGTATGATAGAAGTGCTAAATGGTAATTGAGGCATTGTTAGTACTCCAGAGAGGAGATGCTAGAAACAAGGAAAGCAGATTCTAACTGCTTCTGTCCCAAGAGATTTACAGATTTGGGCTGCAGAAGGAAGGCCTGCTCTCCAGCCCAAGGATTCTGCTCCAAGCATATAACCACCATGCACAAAATAATGTCTGTGGACACTTCAAACTGCAGGAGTCAAGCCCATTTTTGAAAGTGTGGCTTCTTCTGCTCTAATAAACAGGTTCTGCAAGATTGTACGTGCATCTGAATAAATGCTAGTTTCAGGACTGGAATGAAGATGCTTGTAGTTGAAATAGATTTCAGTAGAACCAATTTACCAATTAGACTGTTGTTGTTTTTTCCCTAGGAATCTAGCTGAATCTCTCTTCTTGAAGATGTTCCACCAGGGGTCTAGGTTTGGGATGTGCCCATAACTGGTGCCTAAAGCAGATTTCTCCAAGCTGGGCACCTTCCAGATGTCTGGACCTCTACACTCAAAACTCTCCAGCTGGCAATGCCTTCTTAAGAATTCTGGGAGTTGAAATCCACATATCTGGAGGGCCCTCAGATTAGGGAAGGCTAGCCAAAAGTAGCTAGCCTGGGACTGACAGTAGATAGATCAGGAGCTGCTTCAGGCAAAGTTACTATCTGTCCATCCTTGCTGAAAGCAGGAAATATCAACTAGCCAACTGATCACTTTGTATTCATATGGCTTTGCCAGCTCCATGTTTTGAAGGAGCCCACTGGCTAGATGTTCTCCTTGAGGCTCCTTCCCTTGAATGGGGTATCCCCTCCTCCTTACTGTCACCCTTGTCCAATAATTTGGCTTCTCCATCAAGTCACCATTCCTACGACGATCTAAAGAAGCAGTGCAGAACAGATATAAAAGTAGCTAGCTGGACACTTACCCCATGCTGATGCATCCCTCTCTTGAAGATCACTCCTTAACACCTTCTGGCAAGAACGTCTCCTCCTTACGATTGTCTTGCAGTGATATCCGCCCATCCACATTTCCTAGTTCGTTTAATAAATAGCAAGATAAATCAAGCAAATAGAGTCTTCTTCGATTTGAACTCAACTCCTGGTGACTTCGTGGATACATTCTTGTAATTTTCTTAGCAAGAGTATCAAAGTTTTTTTTTTTTTAAATGTGAAATACAAGAAACTACAGCACCAATTAAAAAAAAGATAGTGATTATGGGGTCCACACAGACTTGATGGCATGTAATCAATCAATACAGTGAAAAAAGAAAACCTAAATATAGTTTTCAAAATAAACTGTGGCAAAAAAATCAGAAACCCCAAATTAATAGAAAAAATAATTATGGATAATATTAAGTTAAGCCAACTCTTCAACTTATCATTAAATATAGATCTAAAAGAAATTTATTGCACCATCTTCTCATTTTTAGAGCGCAGAAACTTTTTTAAAAATAGAGAATAAACTCATATCCTGGATCCAGTCCTCAAATAAGAGAAGTTTCTTTCTGGTTATGTAAAATTATCCTCTTTGCCTTGCCTGAGGCTCCACAAGCTAAGCCAAAGGTTTTCATAAGATAACAAATTCCATATTTCAGGAATATAATTCAACATCACACAAATACAATACAGTATTTCTTCCCCAAATTGTATTTACATATGTAGTGATTTGAAACCAAAATGAGGTTATAGCTGGACAAGATCAGATTATATGACCTTCAAATTTCTTATAGCACCAACATAAAAAAATCTAATGTCCCTCCCTTGTAACAATACCAAAAACGTTTACCACTGCCTTCTCCCAGGAATTTTTTTTTTCAACTTCTGAGACCAGATTACAACATGAGAATTTCAGGTGGTTTCCCATCCAAGTCTGACCATGTCCAAACTTGCTTAGCTTGTGGAAATCATCCACATATAATTAGATGTGGCAAAGATGATGGCCAAAAACATGATTGCAGAAGGTGGAGAAGAATCTTCAGCAAAGTGTAGAAATTTGGGGGATGAGTAGAAAGTGATTTTTGATGGAAGGGTAGAAGAAATACAAACCAACAAATACAACTTTGAGAAGGGGGGTGGTGTTTTTTGTTTCTGGGGCCTTCAAGTCAGTCTTGACTTTTGGCGACTGCCTGGACAAGTCCTTGCAGTTTTCTGCAACATTTTTGGAAGTGGTTTGCCATTGCCTCCTTCCTAGAGCTGAGAGAGAGTGACTGTCCCAAGGTCACCCAGTTGGCTTTGTGCCTAAGGCAAGACTAGAACTCATGATCTCTTGGTTTCTAGCCTGGTGCCTTTAACTTCAACACCAAACGGTCCCTTACTTTGCCTTTGGGTCAATCTAGACTCCTGGTGACTGCCTGGACTAGTCCCTCCGGTTTTCTTGGCAAGACTTTTGAAAGTGGCTTGCCCTTGCCTCCTTCCTAGGGCAGAGAGAGAGTGACTGGCCCAAGGTCACCCAATTGGCTTCCTGCATTAGGCAGGATTCGAATTCCCAGTCTCTCTGTTTCTAGCCCACTGCCATTAACCACTACACCAAACTCGTTTTCTTGTCAAGGTTAGCAGGCACTAAACTGTATTTTCTTCTTAGCTCTGTTAGGCAGCATTTTCAGTATGCACTGATATAGCTAAGCCCCTACAAATAATGTGCATTAATAGATGGCGATGCTGGCAACATTGCAGAAAACCTGTGCAGATCAAGCAAGGATTTGATTGGAGAATAGGCGGGATCAACCCAGAAAAACTGTGAACCCAACAGCTGGCAATGTCTCTACCTGGGGACTTCTAGGGTGTTCTCCTGGTCCATATACAGATGGATACATACAGAATTCAATAGAAAGATGAAAGATGTTGATGAAGCCTATTGCTGACCTTGTCAGCCTTGTCTCCTTTCCTTGGAAGGAGATCACTACCTAGCAGACTGCACTGGGCATGTAAAGTATCAGGGATGTGGGTCTGGTCTAGAAATAAACCCCCAGAGGAGCTCCTGCTATAGAACATTTATCTGCCAGCTTCCCTTTCTCCATGGACCTTGAAATTCCCCAATCCAAGCCATGCTAAAATTAGCAGCTACACATGTCTCAGCTTTGATAACAATAACAAGAACATATTCCACCAATGTGTCAGAAAGAGTGGTGTATTTTTGTTAGCAGATACACTGTATTATTTTTCCCTTTAATTCAGGGTGTTGCCTTTCCCTTGGGAGTTTGGGCTAATTTGGTGTAAGAGAAAGAAAAAAAAAATGTTAGAATATGCCTGCTCTCCATCTGGGGTCACAGCAGTTGTTTGGATTAAGTAACCCCATGGCTCTGGGTCCCCTCAAGTTGAGGACCTGAGTTTCAACAACAACGAAAACTCCACCCAGCATACTAATACTAAAGGTTGTCGTCCTGTGCCTGACCCATATTTTTTGCATTTTTTTCCTTCTCCCCCTTCACAGAATTCCCCCCTTTGCAGAGGGGAGAGATTGCTTAAACAAGCTTTCTTCCTAAACTGCTTTTCCCTTAAAACAGGGTTCCTCAACCTTGGCAACTTTAAGATGGGTGGACTTCAACTCCCAGAATTC